CAACAACAACAGCGCCTTCCACAATACCGTCATTATCCACAAATACCGTTCAATTGACTGGTTATGAAAAAGCCTTGTCATTCGACGATCAAGTTACCAAAGCTGAAACGCTCTGGGCACTGAAGTCTGTCCAGCATGGATTCAGTTATAAATCCAGCGACGAAATTGGTTACCTATTTCGCGCGATGTTTCCAGACTCAAAAATTGCCGAGAAGTTCTCTATTCAACACAGCAAAATGTCTTATGTCATTTCACATGGCCTCGGTCCATATTTTCATTGTCACGTCGTTGAAGACGTGAAACATTGTCAAAGATTCGTCTTATGTTTTGACGAACAAACAAACAATCAAAATAACAAACAACTCGATCTGCTTTTTCGATATTGGCACACGGGGAAGGAAATGGTTGTCACGAGATACTATCGAACAGTATTACTGGGGCATGCTCAAGCAACAGTAGTCGTTGGTAGCATTTTGGATGCGTTCCGAAGTGATGGAATAGACATCAAAAAATTACTAATGCTGAGTCGAGACAATCCGAATGTAAACAAGACTATCGAAAAGATGATTGGTGATGAAATGAAAAAACTTGGTGCCGAGTTATTACAAGTTGGTGTCTGTAATTTGCATGTCGTCCACAATGCATTCAAAGCAGGTACAGAACTAATGCCACCAAAAATGATTACTTCATGCCGTCTTTGTCTTTGACAGGATCCAATGCAGCAAATTGGCGCGTTGACAACATCTGTATGGATATCTGGTCTTGGTTTCGACAATCACCTGCGCGAAAAGAAGATTTTTAGAACATTGTCGATGAAATCAACTATTCCGTCGAAAAAGCGATTTTATATTTCGCGAGCACACGATGGGTTTTGTTAGGCAAAGTTATTGCTCGTATTCTCAGTGAGTTCTAAGGACTTTGACTCTTTTGTTTTGGAAAGTTTTTTTCCTCTAGAACAATGGCATGTGCTTCGAGAATATTTTCTCGTCTATTTACCAGGAAACCATCAACAACAAATTCAGAAAAATACTCGATACGACAAGATTCAAGAAACCTTGTCATCGAACGCTTCAAAAATTCGGCTAAACTTCATTTTGTATTTGTGCCGTTCGATTTTCGATCGTTTTCTCACATGGTTTCAGAAGGAGGGACCGCTTGTTCATCTTCTCCACCATGAGCTGTCCGAACTTTATCGTGCGGTTCTGTTATCCTTCTTATCGGCTGAACATGTCGGAACAAAAATGGGTGGCGGATTGTTGGACATTGATTTCAAATTGTCTGAAAAACAATTGACAACCAAGCAATTACAGATTGGTTAGTTAGAATTTGTTAGTAGGTATGCACCAGTTAAAAACTGGTATTGGGATATCGGGGAGAATTGCTCTACATCAGTTATCACGATTCTCTTGTAGCTGCGGAACGTCTCATTTTGTAGAAAAATGTTTGCTCTACCAAATCCATTTGTTAAAAAGATTCCTAACGGAACTTAGAGCATTCGAAAATACATTAAATCCCGTAAAAATAACTGGTAGGCATGCAACAGTTTTTTAACAGGTTTTTTTCGTGTTTTTGAAACAATGACCGGGCAGTTAAAAACTGCGGTTAAAGATGCGGTTAAAACTGCTTAAAAAGTTCACAGTTCATTGTTGCAAAAATACAAACCATTTTTGGAAAAACACGAAAAAAACCTGTTAAAAAACTGTTGCATGCCTACCACTTATTTTTACGTGATTTAATGTATTTTCGAATGCTCTAAGTTCTGTTAGGAATACGTTTGGAATCTTTTTAACAAATACATTTTGTAGAACGAACATTTTTCTACAAAATGAGACGTTTCGCAGCTACGAGAGAATCGCAATAACTGATGTAGAGCAATTCTCCCGGATGTCCCAACACCAGTTTTTAACTAGTGCATACCTATTTGATAGTCGATTACAGTGAGATTTCGGAAGAATGAAAATTTTCAGAACAACTGAAGCACATTTTTACTCCCGATTTTCTCTTCTTCAGGAGAAGAAGCCCGTCGCCTATTGGCTGAATTATCAGCGGCGGATCGTACAACATTTTTCAACGACGTGAGAATAATGTATCACACGATCGCCGACTATCTCAAAACTCACCTTCCACTGGAGAATAAATTCTTACGTGATGTTCAAGTCCTAGATCCTTCACTAAGAACGGAACCGAATTCAGCCGATCAGATGGTTCGTGTCGGGCGTGGCATTCCGAGACTATTGAGCGGTACGGAAATTGATCGTATTCGTGGTGAATGGATGATGTATGCAGCTGAAACAATCGATGAACAATGGTACATAAAAAAGCGATACCAGGACTCAGATGGCAATACTCAAATTGAGCATCAGCGGATAGATTTCTATTGGAACAAAGTGTTGTCGTTAACAACAAATGTTGGACTGTCGAAATATCCGACGATGGCGAAAATTATCAAAAATATTCTTATTGTTGCACATGGAAACTCGGACGTCGAGCGAGGATTCAGCGTGAATGAACACATTGTCACAGAGAATAGAACATTGCTGACGGCATCGTCGATCAACGGCCTTCGTGCCACTTGGGACGCTATAAACTTTGCTGGATCGGGTTCATCGCACAAGGTGCCCGTCAATGCCGAATTGCTCCATGCTGTACGGAAATCGAAATCCATTTACAATCAAGAACAGCTGTCGTTGAAAATTGCTGCTAATCAGATGAACAAGGATAATGAAGATCATATAAATGTCGATGAAAAAGCAAGGAAATTGGTGGATCAAGAATATCATTGGCTGTCCAAACAGAAGAACTTACAAGAAGAACAAAATAAAGCACAATTATCGATTAGTGAAGGCCGTCATCGGCTTGATAATGCTTTAAAGAAATCGGATATGATTGATGCACAGGCAGCAAACGCATTAATTGGCGCCGGCGACGAAAAAGTAAAATCGATCAGCGGAGAACTGAAGCAAGCTACGGATGAATTGTTGAAAATTCAAAGTAAACGAAAAAATGCCTTCTCCCATAGACAGTCATCCGAAAACAAGAAAAAGAAGGTATCAGCAACAACAAGTGATTGGTTTTGAAATAGTATTGTTGTGTCCTGCTTATGCATAGTTAGATAAATCAATGTAACAGTCCCATGCCAGTGAAAGAGATTTGCCATTTTTCTGGTGTTTTCATTAGTTTTTTCATTTTAAAAGGTCAATATGATTCATAAGTATCCTAGTATAGAAAAAGAATACTTTTTTTTGAATAACGAAACCTTCATTGAATATTTTTTTTCTTATTAGTCCTTTTGAGAAGGTATTTTTCTTCTTTATTTTACTTTTTCTTCGATTCGGCTCATGTCTTATGATTCTAACGTGAATCTCATGCCACCGTCACATGCTTCTACACTTGCGAGGATATTTGTTAGCATTTTTCGCCTGAAAAAACCGAACTCCTCTTTTTTTTTCAAAATCCTCTTTTTTCCTCTTTTTTTCCAGACTGTCGGTGGGATACCAGAAAACGAATGAGAAGGAAATAAAAAAATGCAGTTTGTGGAAATCTGAGGATGAGGGTGTCTTCATTGTACTTCAGAGCTAGGCAAGTGCGGACTTTCTCGAGTACGAGTACGAGTACCGTCAAAATCGTACTCGCCCCGCTCTGTCGTATTCGAAATATTTTTCAGCAGATAAATACAAGTCAAAACATTTATACACAGGCTGATCGAGAACTGCACGCGCTATCAGAGTATGGGATTATTTTTCTAAAAGTATATCTTCATAAGAAAAATATCTTGAAAAAACTGTATGCAACTATATTTTTCCAGGCGTATATTATACAAAAAAAAGAATAAGAATCAGAAAGAGATGCACGTGTGCAAGATACGGGACGGTTTTTAAATATCGCTATTACGTCAGAGCATACAGTATTTTATTCACAACAAAAGCACCGAATTTTTATTTTTGATTAGAACACTACCATTGAAAGTCAGAACAAACACTCAACACATGTTTTTACGTCTATTCAGATACAAGCGGTTGTTCTCTTGAAGATAGAGTCCTGTGGGTCTGACATTCTCTGTTGGAATCAGGATTCTGGAAACTTTATTTTCAGGTTTTGGATCAAGAATATGAAAAAATTGAGATACCTGTTCATTCTAACTATTGTATCTGAGTTAGTACAAGAACTCAAATATTTTTACATAGATCGATAGATCTGATTTTCACATGCCAGAGCTCTGGATGGATTCAAAATCCGAAGTTCAGTCACCCTCCATACGGAGTTCTGTGACATACATCGCATTCTCAAAAGTTTTACTCACTCTTAGAAACTACACTGTAAGGTTGGAAATTAATTATGGTAAATGCTCGGTGAATTTCAAAGAGTACCTATGTGAGGTGAGTTCCTCGAGGATTTTCTAGTTCACAGAAAATGAAATTTCCAGCAATCTAGAAAATCTCCGTTGAATTTCCATAAATAATTTCCAAAAAGTAGAACCAGCGTATTGGATTTTCACAGTATTATTGAGTAGCTTGAGTTCAGCCTACTTTCGCAGTGCAGATATAGGATATAGAGCATGCCCCGTCTTGAATCAAAATATAATCCAATTATGCATGTACTGATTAAGAATCGATGTTATGGCATCCAGCAAAGTCGTTACGAATCAATTACAAAAATGGTACTTTGAGCTGCCGAATGTCTCATTTTGTAGAAAAATGTTTGCTCTACCAGACTGAAGTGCTAGAGAAATTTTAATGTTATATATACAGAATATCATAAACTGAAAAAGCACTAAAAATAGCAGAAAAATAATCGAATGTCGATTATTTTTTCGCACTTTTGCATGCTTATACTTCTGTCACAGATAACACAAAAATGTTTTTCCACTTCAGTTTGGTAGCAACATTTTTCTACAAAATGAGGCATTCGGCTAAGTGCTATTTTGTAACTGATTCGAAATGGTTTCGCTGGATCGATTCTTAATCTTAAAAAGGTGACATCCAGTGTATTGTGGACCAATATTATTGGTTCCAATATATCGGATATACAATAATATTGAATCTGAATATTATTCGATACCCAATAATATTGTACAATATCTTCACTAATGATTGGTATTGGTGCATGCCTAGCTCTATTGAAGGTGTCCTGATTTTGCTCAACGGTAAAGACTTGATTATTTACACTATATTATCAAAAGTGCTAGTTAAAGTTACATTTCAGCTAAGCAGCAGATATATTTACCCATCAAAAAATCAGGAATGTATAAGTTATGAAGAAAAAGTGAAAAGGTAAATACGAGAAATGAGCACAGTTTGAAATATCCAAATTATTTATCGCCGCATATTGCTGAGTTATGGCATCGTGAATTACATGGCACATTTGCTTTTTTACGGTTGCATCTCTTGTTTTACAACCGCCTTTACAATCACATTTTAGCATTCCCTATCCACCGGTAACACTTCGAAGTCTGTATATTTCTCCGAATGGTTATAGTTCGTCTTTTGTAGTATCTTGCATAAATAATGTTGGTAAGCCTGAGGCTTGGGATACTTGATGGGAACTATAATAATCTAATAAAACACCATTTTCTGTACTTAATTTATATTTATCATGTTTAATTTCTATTATAACAGCTAATATATTGCATGAATGTTGAACTACAATCAGCATCTGGTACCGATACCATTATTAGGTTATTATAGTTCTCGTCGAAGTATTACCGGTGGATAAGGAATGTTAAAATGTGATTGTAAAGACGGCTGTAAAACAAGAGATGCAATCGTAAAAAAGCAAACGTGCCATGTAATTCACGATGCCATAACTCAGCAATATGCGGCACTAAATAATCTGGATATTTCAAACTGTGCTCATTTCTACTGCTTAACGGGTGTGCCGTAAAGAATGGATATTTTGTATTTCCTCAATAACTCCGTCAGTTCTAATCTGAAAGCTCTATCTTCCTAGTGTGTTTCAAAATTTTGGGAGTAAAACTCTGTCGCATAAATTCGCTTTTGATTTTTCGTATGTTTCAGAAAACACCAAGTTCAAACGGTGGTTTTGGCTTCTCGGAAAATCGACGTAATTCGACCGAAATACAACGGTTTACGAACACTGTACTGCATAGAGAACACCCAAACGCTTCTTGTACATATCTTTAATGGCCGGTCGCACCTGCCTGGATATTCTGACCAGCTCACTTTGTAGAGAATTTCAAGGGCTATGCAATGGTATGTTTTCAAAAAATATATAATTTTTCATTATGCCAGAAAAATGACTAAAGGAGTATTTAAAGCACTAAGGCAAAAGTGATGATGTCGGCCAAGTATTTCGACAATTGTGCTATATGAGCATATTTTTCAAATACATATTTATAGTTTATTTTGAATCCCAGAAAATTCTCTCTTTCTGTATATAGTGCCTGTTT